ATCATAATATAATGTCAGAGTCATATAAAATTAACATATACCATATGTGACCCTCAGTGGTTTCCCTCCTTTGGAAGATCTAGACTCAGAATCCCAGCTGGTCACCGGCGCTTTTGGCACACTCAATGAGTCTCACATCGACTCATCTCCAGGCGAACTGGACGTCTACGGCCGCAAGTTGGTGACGAGGCCCACGCCGCAAAAAACGCGGGTCGTCCCAGCCACTCCGTTCGCCCGGGAAGATGCAGCGCCGCGGGAAGATGTGGGATGACAGGTGACTGAAGTGAGTGAGACGAAGAGATCGTTTTCTGGCGCAGTGTTTCAAGACAACGAATGAAGATGAGTGGTGACGCTCATTAGCCACACTGGAGCAACTCGTTCGATTGATTCAACTCGACCATTGATAATAGATGAAACAAGTTTCACAGGATACATTGAATCCTATTGTTTATGGAGACAATACAACATGACCAGCTGAACTATGTCAAAAGCAGACGACCCTGTGGCTTTAATGTTTATCAACACAACTGTGTATGACAGTGTATGACATACAAATTGCTCATCGAAGATCTAGCACCGTAAATTCACCATCACAAAGAGATGCATTTACTATCTTCCAAGAAGATCTAAGAACGAACTTTTCGACTGACACCGGTGCATTCCAGCCAGGCCCTCCAGATGCAAAGATCTCTTCTGTGGCCGTGGCGGAGCTGCCTTTGATGAGTCGAGTGGGGGTATTTGGGGTGTCCATGGGTGTCCCTTTTTGGGATCCACTTCGACCGTCACAAGTTGATTCTACGTTTACGTCCACACTTTGCGTTTGCGTGTCTCAAGTTTTGGACCTCTTATTTTGTGACTCGCTTCGCTCAACCGCAAAGGAGCGGAAGGGAGGCCAGTCGCGGGCGCGAGAAGGGGAAAGCCCTCCGGCGCGGACGGAGCTCCGAATGTCAGGTGGATTTAACATTGCTTGTGAATGCTGCTGCTGTTGCCAGCTCGACGAGATGCTCACGGAGTTCATGGCCCTTCGGCTGATAGGCTTTTTCGCGTGTGGCTATCTCCAGCTACCAATGGACCAAAGGGTATCGACGTCGGGTAGTTATTTATTGTTAAATGTGCCTTGCCTTAGAAACAAGAGGGGGCTTCAGTCAAGGTTTCAATGTCTCCCAAATCTATTCGCAGATCATGCTACCCCGTCACTGTATGACAGCTGACTTCACCTTTGTTTGAGAACTGACCTTCTGCACGAAACAGAAGGATCCTCCAGCATCGGGAGCTCAGGTCTCCACTCATCGCATCCTGGTGGAGCAGCGTGCCGCACAGCGCTATTGCCGCTGCACAGCCTTTTTGAGGTCGAGTCGAGCAGTTTTTCTTTTTTTGGGTCGCAGAAGGCGTTTGAGGGTTCAAGGAGCTACTGACTGTTAGGCTTTGGGTGGAAGGCAAGGATTTCAGCAAAGTGCATGCCACAGTGCATGCCACGTATTATGCCACATTAGGGTATGGTGACAGATGTGTGATGTGTGCAAAGATGAATCACTGCATGATGAACAATGGTTGATCGACATCATTCTATATTAGCAGTTAGCATTTCAATGGCCCGCTGTTTGATGGTCTTTGTCTCCAGACCACTCAGACCACTGTTTGGCCAGGAAAGTGCCTAGCCTCCGAGTGACCTTCTTGGCGCACAACCAGGTGCTTTTTGGGGCGGAGCGGCCGAGCCCGAGACATGCCCGACATTCTCCAGTAGCCATAACGTACCCAAAACCTCACTCGCTTGCCGTAGGCTGCCGCCTACGTGGGGCTTATGCCGGTGAAGGCCCTCACGCGAAAGAAGATTCAGCAGGACGCAGCAACAACAGCTACATCGAGATGAGTTGACAAAGATCTCCAAAGATGTGCAAAGACAAACACATATCATACTTGATGGAAGCTGGTGATGATGCAATGCCTGGTTGAATTGTATTGACTTGTTTTTGGTTATGGAAGAGGCACAACTTGGTTTGGAGGGTTCAGGATGAAGAAGGCTGACAAGGTTGGCAAGCCCAAAATGTTGCCACGTTCGTTGAGGCAATTTTCTTATACTGTCCAAGTACCTCTCTCTTTACATCCCTTGTATTGGCACAACCTCTCCAAGTTGGTCGCTGTCTTCTGGCTCCGCGCCGGACCGCCCATCTTTAGCCGAAGGACTTCACCATCAAACTACTGCAGCAAGGTGCACGCGAATATCAGCAAGGCCGGCAGCATGACGCTCCGCCGAAGAAGGAACCGCTTTGACCAAGTCGTCCACCGGTTTGTCCGTTCCACCAGTCTGCAGCTTTGGAGAGAGGGTACCTTCCTTTGAAGTTGCCACCCGAGATGGGCTGCTGTACAAGAGAGTTTTCAAGGTTTTGGTAAAAGGACATTAATAATTAAGATCATGAAGGAAGATTGGATGCCCATGATTATGATGTACAACGGGTCTCTACAAGTTTGCAAATGCAGGGCCCATTGTACGCATGAGACCAGAGCAAGCTCAGTGCAGGCCTGATGTTGCATCAGAAACCGAATCTCGTCAGCAAAATGATTATTCCAGGGAGTGGGAATAATCATGGTAGCGGAGGCGGAGACTGGAACATCTCATGTGTGAACATTCCATAAAAACACATCTCATGTAGAGGTCATTTGAATTTGGAAGCACGTGCTCCATGAACCTGAATCCTTTTCTGAATGTTAAATAGCATGCTGTTGGTTCTAGTTCAGATGCAAAGTTGCTCCTATACTTCCCCAAATGCCCCAGCAGTGCCCCAGCTTGTTCCTCTCAAATTGGCTGTTTGAGCATGAGCTACAGATAAACCCAACATTATCCTAATACCGTTGAGAATTGAAAGCACCCCTCAACACATTTGCGTGTGCCTTGTACAAATCACTGTCAATGGATGTTCTTGACCTGCGTTCATCCAAAGTCCAAGGTATGCGATTGCGGGAAAGAAGGATCTTGGCCGCGGTACTTGCTGGGCTCAATCTGTCCCAGGCTACTCTTTTGGCAGGTGCACCAGAGTCCTTGTGGGGGGGATCAAGCCAAGAACTACCTCCTCTCAGTTGCGTCAAGAGTTTGATAGCTTCCTTGGCCTGAAACATCTATATAATTATCCAAATTTACCTTCAGGACCGTTGAGTACATTTGTTTGTACTGTTCCTCTCATATCGTTTTGAACGTTGTGGTTTGAGCCCCATTGGAGCTATTGGTAGGAGTTTGTGTTCATCCACTGACAGCACTTATAAGATGTTTCAAGAGCCTCATCAGCCAAGTTTCTTTTGAAACCCGCCAAATTTGTCATGTCAGTCATGTCTTGCATGTCGCGCTCCAATATCCAAGGACTTGCCAATCAAGCACAAAGTGTGGGTCCCACACATCAATATGTGCCTTGGCTGTGCTGCAGCTCAGAGATCCCTTCTGCCCCAAAGTGTTTGTTGTGTTTGTTCTTTGCCCATTATGCAAAATCCCAGCGCCCTTTCTTGGACGTGTCTTGATGGCACATCAGACAGGCAGGAACCAGCTATTTGTTCTTTTGATGATGTGGAGTTACATCGATATGTTGTAGCATCAGACCCCCCCCCAAATCACGGGCACAAAGGAAACGCGTGTCTCTCAAACTCCCACGAGTTGGCACTGTTTGACCAGGATCTTCGACCAGCTGACTCAGAGGGCGCCCATGCACGACGACGACAGTTCAGGAGAGATGAGTGGTCAGGTCAGTAAGGTTTCTGCTTTGGCCTCCCTTAGAAGAGCAGAAGCCTTTTGTGGTTGAAGACACACATGGTCTTACAGGTGCCAATTTGTTCCACTTTCGTTATTCGCAGGGTTTTGCACGTACCTGTCTTTTTTTTTGGCTGGGTGGCGAACGGGTGGTGAACGGGTTCGCTCTCGGTGATTCGACCAGAGTCTCAAAGGCGCAAAGTCCCACAAGCAAACTCCATTGGTTGGGGAGTGCTAATATTTGCTGACATATTTCGCCAAACATGGTCCTTTTTGGAGGAGGTTCGATTCGTTCATCATTTGCGTTGAGGAGTTGAGGACGACTCCGATGAGGAGGAGTTCTTAGACCAGCTGTGAGCGGCTTCGCCTGCTTCGGTCGGATGCGCCTCTCGCGGTCATGACTGGGCACAATGCTGTCAGTTGAGACCTTTCCATATTTCGGGGCCTTCGGGACTTTGAGCCTTTGAAGGTCCTTTCATGGTGTTTGATCATTGAACCTTGAAATGTGTGCATGCTGCATGCCTGACTTGTTGGCGTAATTGACAGCAAATAGCAGACAAAGACCGGCTGACCAGCTAGACTGGAGAAGAGTAATGATTACAGGATGATGGGCTGTTTCATTGCAAGCAGAGGTGCGTAAGGCAAGCCTTGTTATAGAACCGCTTCTAGAAGAGACGACATGACCAGCAAAGGCCAACGTCTTGGAGCCCTTTAGGCCCAGTGGCCAGAGGAAAAAGATCCTCCAGATGGGCAAAAGACGTGAAAAGTCCGCGTTTCGGCAGACCTGCACTGACCTGCACACTTCATTTGTTGGTGTCTCTTGTCTAAGACCCAGTGACCGCTACATCATGACGTAGTGAATCATCCAAGGGGTGAGGTACTGTGAGGTGTGGTGGGAATCGGCATGTTTGGTTGGGGGGGAATTCCTCACGACCCCATACTGGTCATTTGTAGCCCATACTGGTCCACGGATTTACCTGACCCATCCTGACCCGAGATACTCCCCGAAGAAAACTCAGCGTCATTCAACCGTATTCAACCACTCACAACACCTTGCATTTGCGTGACTGTTTGAAGGTGGTAGTACCACTACCCTGAGAGTAGAGATGAGTGCATATTATATAGGGAAAAGGGATGACCCATCAAGGCCTGGGCACGAAGGGTTTTACCCTCAGTCTCTGACCATTGTGACAATCAGGTGCAGGTGCATTGGTGTGCACTCCAAACACGGTCCGGTCCTAGTCCCCGGCTTGTGGCTGAGCTGCAGGTAGTGGTGGCTCAAAGCCCTGTGCTGTTTGAGGCGGGTTTGGAATGCGAGATGTCCTCCATGTTGGAATGGAGTCATCGATTGAAGCAGAGGGGAAAAACGATTGTAAAAGGATGTTTCTAGGACTATTTTGGTCCAGTGTTGCCTTGTAGGATTTTATGTTGGAGTTCAACGTGTGTTCCTTGCCGTTGATGTTTTATGACCTGTATGTTCTAGGACTGTTTAGTCCCTAACTTTTCTAGGGCAACAGAGAAAACCACAGAGAAGATCTACGACTTAAAGCAAAGGACATTTATGAACAAAACAAGAAACACATACTAAACCAGCACAAAGAAAAAGTTGAATGTCCTATCTGTAAGATTAAGATAGGGAGAAACAACATGACAAGACATGAACGAACCAAACGTTGTCAAAACAATATGACCAACACAAAAGAAAGCAAACATGAACAAGAACCTAAAAACATTGAAAAAGAAAAAGACAGATTAAGAAGACAACAAACAATAGACTATATTAATGATACATTCCCTTCATACCAAGAACTCGGAACATAACTACAACCCATAAAACCTTACAACCTATAACCACAGCATAGTTACAACCCATAAACCCAAACCCAGAGCTAAACAAAAATCCACCTCATCTTAAAACCATTTGCCCTAGAAAAGTTAGGGACTAAAAAGTCCTAGAACATACAGATCATAAAGCATCAAAGGCAAGGTTCAGACGTTGGACTTCAACATGAAATCCTACAAGGCAACACTGGACCAAAATAGTCCTAGAACCAGCCTTTTACCATTTTTTAAGGGTTGGGTGGCAAAGAGATTTGCAGTTCGTTTGTCTTTTGTGTTTGCTTCCAACATCTACAGGTGATGCGAGGCCTATCATTTACAAGGTTTGGGGGGTGCTTGAACGTGCTTCAGGTGTGAAACTGAAGCTGAGATCCACGTGCTTGGTGCACTTCTTGAGACTGCAAACAGGTTGATGTCTGGGTATGGCTCAGACATTGCCCCAAAGGACCTACGACCCGTGATCGAGACTCCAGACCGAATTCCAGACCGATGGTTGTGGGCCTATGGACACCTACTGTCCATACTCTTCAGATCTCAGCTGTTTGCCCGGTTGATGTTGGGCGGTACCATGGTGGTTCATCGGTCGAATGGGTGCAATGGGTACTTTGTTGCTGTGCCATGGTTGCCATGCTCTGGCTTTCTTCACTGCAAGGCCTTGGAGAACATGACCCTCACAGAGCTGCCCAAGGCGAATTCTTTGGAATCCATGGAGATTGGGAATCTGCGCAAATCCAAAATCGCTCAACTTGCAATTGAGGAGTCCGTTCTTTCACTCGTTCTTTCATCATTAGCTTTGTTCTTTTCTTCTGAGGAATCTCTTAGACTCAGAGGTTATTCTTAGGGGGGAATCAGGGATGTGTGGAAATCGGGAAATCAACGGCGCCAGGCGCCAGATTGCTAATGCTGCATGGTTTGTGTCCTCTCAACCCCTACCCGAGGACCCAATAGTCAGATGGGCAAATGATTCATCCCGGAACCACCTGGATCTCCCTGCTACAATGTAATGAATTCAATAGCATCTCCCCTGCAATCTCCAGGCTATCCCACATCTCAAGATGCCTTTCCAACAAATTTGGAAATCCTCGATCACAAATCCTTGATAGGAGAAGATCTCCGCAGCTCTCATACGAGTGGATGAGCGCATCTCACAGGAGGCGAGCTCGTTTGCCGATGGCAATCATGAATCATGCGAGAAGCAGACCTCCGTTTTCGCTAGTCTTAGAGGACCATGTATACCATGCAGCCTATACCAGCCAAGATGACAACAGACCGACCATAACGGACCTCTCATGAGACCTTTGCTAAATGAATGGGTTGCAGGTAAAGGTCATGCAGCGTTTATTTGTACCTCTTGTTCGCCGCCCTCCGTCAGGTGTGGCGAAGCGTGCTGCAATTCATGTATCAGGGTCAAGCCCTTGGAATCGGTTGGAATGTTCCGCTGGGTATTGAGCCATCCCGGAACTCTGCAATGGCCCTGCAAGCGGTGTCGAGGACTGTCCGAACTCGGAAGCACCAAGGCACCATTTTCCCGGAGCATTGTAGCTACTTGCAGGATGTTGGCAAGTGGTGTGCTTAGATGTGGAGAATTGCGTGTTACTCCTGTGACAAGTTGCAAGCCCCTTCAAGCCAATGCCACAGCATCGGCTTGCGTTATGAAGAGATCTTTTCACGAACAAGCTGCATTGATACCGACTTGTTTCGCACTTCCTGGGGCGATCATGCTTGATGGTGCTTTTTCAGCCAGCAGATATGTTCCCGTATTCACTGTGCAAGATTAGAGTACAGTATCACTCACCTTGCGAGACGTCCAATGATGAGAGAAGGACCTTGTTGCACCGTGCTCGTGGCATATCCTCAGGTGCGTGGAGCTTTTGCGTGCCTGCCTTCTCTACAAGTTGCCCGAACCCCTCCTGCGCTTGGCCCTGTGCTGACCTCAGCGCCGCGATGCCGCCCGGGACGGTCTGAGGGCGTTCAGCCATTTGAGGTCGCATCTCTTCCAGCTGCTCCCCAGCAGCCCGCCGAGCTATGCCCTCCAGGCTGTGCGAGAGGGGGTTCTGTGGAGACGGAGGAGGGGGAAAGGGGTGAGGGGTTCAGAAACCTGGATCTTCGAACCATGCAATATGTTTGCCTTTTGGCTGGTTTTACAGTTCGGAAGAGGCAGACATGTTGCACAGGTGGAAGAACTTTCGGCACGAAAAGCCAGATGGAATTCAGAGAAATCATTTTTTTTAAATGATGGGCTATGATGGGCTTGGACACCTAACCTTATTGATTCCAGATCCTTTGGACAAGGATCAAGCCAGAGACCCATACCCTATGAGATGACTGTTCATCACATCCACTTACTAAGTATCCAGAGATCCATTGAGCAATCATCATCAATCCACAAATACATCACACAGGGACGGGGCACGCGGGTGCAGTCCTTTGCACACCCCTTTTGGTTTTGCCGACCACAGTTGCGCAAGCATGTCTCAGTAGCAGAGGTCTTTGCCCTCTGCACCGCCGATGAGCATGCAAAGAACGAGGAGACCAGCTCTCGGCGTCAGGGACCCCCAACAGGGACCGCCCACATCCCAACAGGGAAGAGTTTGGGTGTCCTGAAGATCTCACAGCATCTCGCATTCGAAGAGAGTCTTAAAATGTCTTAAAACATCTGAAAAAACTGCAGATGTCGTGGTCATTGCTGGTCTGCGTTTTGATTGGGTCTCTCAACGCATCCAAGACACCAATGAGGACTTGGCTGAGGCTTGACATATTATGAAAAGACCCAAACTCGAAACCCAAATGGAAGCTTCGTCAGAAGTAAACTTGTGCAGCTTGGAAGAAGTACATCTCACTGGTTCTTTACGCAAGAAACTGAATGCATTTCACTTGAGGGGCCTCAGAAAAATCCTACGGATGCCAAAAACATTTGTAAACAGACAGAATATATAACAACCAGCGAGTTTATCAAACGGCGTCAGACATTGCATTCCCACTAGGCAATGGCAGGATTCAGCCGTCAGCCGTTCACTGAAATTTTGGACGAAAGACGAATTAAACGTGCTGGACACATCCTTCGGTCACAAAATAGTGATCCTTTAAGGCAAGGTGCATAGCAACCTGACAGCACAGATCCTGTCGACATAGGTACAACACGCCTGGGCTGACCTAGGCAGCAATGGACATATAGATCCAATGAACTAACCCATGGTAGGATAATGATAAGCCACACTGATTATCATGGGCTTGATTTCCAAACACTAGCATCTTGATGGCCGCGCGTCAACGTAGAGTCTGAGCTCGAGTGCACTCTGGTGCCAAAGTACTTTGGACAATTCCTGCGTGTTTGCAGCAAAGGGTGCAAGGCGGCAGAAATAGAAAGAGTCGCTTTGATTTGCTACTGATTTGGGAACGAGTCATCAATTACTCTATTCTACTTGGGCCCTGTTTGACCAGAGGTATCGACTGGTATGACTTATGATATTGGGACATCAATCCCAGGATGTTCATTCGGTTCATCCTTTGTCCCAGCAAAGGAGGGCCTCCCAACCACCGATGATTGGGTTCTACTTGTAGGTCCATTGTCCCTTCCAAGGGCTCTTTGCGCTTTCTTCCTTGCTTTGCTTTCGCCAATGCCGAGTCAGAATCGTTGGGAGGACTTGCGCTGCCTGCGTGACGGGGCCGCGTGGGTCTTGCTGTACCAAGCGTGCGAGCGCCTAGCCGAAGCTGGGAAGTGTGAGATGGACAAACTGTGCAAGGAACCATATAATACAATTATAGACTAGACTGTTGATGTGTAAAACCGACCTTTCAGAATGACGTATTACATCTCCATATGACGGTCTTATCAATCAACAGTCTACATTATGTTTCCATAAGTCTAAGACGCAGCCATGCAGTGTCATAAGCACCTTGAAGAGCCCGGCGCTGCTCTAGTCACGTCCAGTTGCATGTTGAGGCTTTAGTCTGAACATCTTGTGAAATGCAATGATTGCTTTGCACAGTGCCGATGCCATCCCCGAGGCATAGTGTGTTCATTGACATTGAAGCGACCGATCTTTGCGACATCCTCTGCAAAGTGGTGAAGCCACCATGTTTTCGCAGATCGGAGGGATGCCGGTCATTTGGTCCGCCGCTGCTTCCCCTAAATTTTAAGTTTTGAATGATGTTGATTCTAGGCAGAACTTTGTAACGTATTAGGTTAAGATGGTTAAGCCCGTAGATCAACAGTTGTTGAACAACAAAAAATGACATATCTTTGAAAGACAGACATGAAGTCAGTTGGATCCTTCTTCAGTGTCCCTTCTCATGCCAGGTACGCTGCCTGGAGAACGCTGTCTTCGAGAACCCCGAACAGTTTCTTGGGCTCAGACAGTACACCGGCCTGGTGAACATGGGCCGGCGACAATAGGGGTTTATATATGATGATGTTGTTTTTTTCCTTGGTTCCCTCTAGAAAAACCGTTGAGTAGGACTAGTACAGGAGCACCTTGTGGTCCCTTGCAAGGATTCGTTCAGATTGGCTGCTAAAGTTCCAAGTGCATGCAGGTCCAACCTTGTCCCGAGTGCAGATGGATACGTTGATAGTGGTGCTGCATGTAGTGGTGAACCTCCTCTTGAAAACACCTTATATACTGGTCCTGGGCTGGTAGAGGAAATTCATCAACCCCATCATAACCATTCTGGTTTGTTTGAAAATGAGGCAGCCGTTTCCGGAACATATTTTTCTTACCTTCCCCTCGTGTTGCTCTCTCAGCATCCTGTTCAATGTTTTGAGGCCAACCGTGATGGAGGTGCGAATGAAGGGAGTTTGATTGATGGATGGGACAGTGACATGACAAGTCATCTATGTATGAATATACACACACACTCTCCTTGCTTGCTCACTCAGTATTACTAAGTTTCAATTTCACGATGCAACGTGCGGTTTGAACACCTGGGTGGATAGAAGATTATATAACTACTAAGTAGTTGAAGGTTGATGCCCCCAACAGGCACCAGGGTAGAAAGCTTTGCAATGCTTTGCATGTTAATGTGGTGTTCAGGCAATAAGCACTATAGTGGCCTGACAGAATATTCTACCTCATGTTGATGTTTCTGTGCTCGACGCTGCAGGACCACTTGAGCTATAGCTTCCGCGGTGTTCCACAGGACAACCCTGCAAATCGGGGCGGGGCGTTTCCTGGCCGCCACGAATGGGTTCAGGGTTCAGGGGGGACCTGCAACCCAACCAACTGATAACTGATGGATGCACTTACAACCACCCTTTGCCCTTTCGAGATGTTTCATTGGCACCGGCTGCGACGCCCCATGACGGTCACCGGGTTCGCCGGGAAAGCGGTGGGTTCCGAACCAGGACCTGCTGTCACAAACACTGCAGCTTGGCATCAACGCTGATGGGATTTCCTTGTGAGATGTTGGGAGAGGGTGGCGTGGAGAGTGCCATATTGAACCATGTGCAAGTGGCACATTGTGGCCTAGGGTCTCCATGGGATTCCACAGATCTCCATGGGTCTCCTGGTTTCCAGTGTCAGAGAATCTGGTCCGGTCTCAACACGATGAGCTCGCCGAGCTGCCTACAGATCAACTCTTTGCTTATTTGGATGTGCGCTTACCGTCCGCTCGCGCTCTCGCGGCACGATGTTCTGAACATCCCGACACCAGGTCCCAGAGTCGGAGCTTTTCGATGGGGGGTGCAGGTTCCTCTGGGGGTTGGTGGGTGTTGGACTAACAACACCAATGGGCTTTGGCTTCGGTGTTGGACTGATAAAGCCATGTCGCACTTCTGGGCACCGGGGGGGAAGGAATGACATATATCCCGTTCGGAACGACTGCATAGCAGAGAACCTGGTTTTTTTGAAGCTTTTGCGGTACTGAGGGCCTGGAAGTGGGGCCCATCTAATATATATATGCACGTTTGATTGCCGAATGCGGCCTCACCACACTGACTGGTGCAAGGGTGATATTTGACCGTGGCCACTGACCAAAGCCACCAAAACCATGTTCAAGAACAAAATAAATTAAGATCAAATTATAGGACTTAAGAATTAAGCATCCCAAAAGAAAAAAATAAAACACATCATAGTGTACCAGTAACTTGGAGCATCATCAATCAGTAGTTTTTACATCAATGGAGACTGATCTTGGGAGTGGAGTTTCGGAGGCGGCGAGTGACGGACACATTGTCACATGGCATGCCTCGCCGATCAGGATGACATGCTGCACAGCATGGCCGGGTAGCTTGGTGTGGTAGGAACTTCGGCCACGTGGCGCGCGCGCGGATGCTAAGCACTTGGAGAAAGCAGCCCTTGGATGCTGAGCAGGTACAAAAAGCCACTACTAAATATTAAGCAAGCACAATGAATGGGAAGCACAAAGAGCGTATTTGCTTGTACGTAAGTCTGCCTGAAAACCACACCATTTGTTTTGTATGTGGATTTGTCATGTTCGTTCTACAAAAACTGTTACTGTACTGTAATATAATTTGAACATGCTCTTTCTGGGTTTGTTACCTTCACATGGTTGATTTCGCCACCGGGTTGTCGATGTGTTGTAGGCACCTAGTTTGGCCCGGACTCATCTTGAACTCACTTGTATCAACAGCATGTTTCTTAAATTGTTTTTTCTGCCGGAACGCAAGCAAGTGTTGGGAATCTGTGGTTTCGCCTCAGGATTTTGGATCGTTGAAAGGTTGGCAGGACCAGAGGCGCTGCAGAGCATGGACGTTTCGCCGGGCAACATATATAATATTTACTATATAGGACATACGTGACACGTGACCTTTATTTTGGACCACCAACCACCCCAAATTATGTTTTGTTCAACCAACATACATATGTGTTTATACAGGCAAAGTCCAAACAGCAAGTTGCAACCTTTAGCTCCTGCAATCAAGGTCACAAACCCATTTGCAAGTTGGCATAAATGCCGGTATTTGGTGTATGTGTGTACCCCTGGAATCACAGGGATCCTGTAGGATTGTTTTGTTGCTTGAGTTCTTTCAGCAGGGGGGCACCGGGGGGTGCTGATGAGACCGGTGCTAACAAAGACGCTCCTCAGTTACCTGTGATACAGTTGGAGACGTCCAAATGCGTACCTGCAGAGTTCTGACTTCCATTTCCTACTGCAACAAGCTGACCAGCCTTTGCATCTGTTCACCATCGGCAGTCACGCACCTGATCTTGATTTTGAGCTTGCAGTTTGAGATTGGAGGTGAGGGCAGTCTTTTGGCGTTTTGTTTACCTCGACCCTTAGGTTTTTCACTTAGGCTGGCGTGTGGCAACCGCTTTCAGTTCCGTACGCAAAATCATAAGTGTGTCTGGCTTCGTCGTGCCACCCCACAGTCACCCCGAAGAGTCGCCCCTGTGGACCCGTCGAACGGGGGTTTGTCTTTATCTCCCCTGCCCGGAGATGTACGTGCCCAGAGCGGGCGAAGTAGGCTTCGGCCAAAGTTATTTGAATTCTAAGCTGGCTCATGCCTTTACGTGACCGCAGCGGTCTAAGCTGGCTTAACGCCTCAACGTGGTCAGAGCGACCAAAGCCATTATGAGGTTCATTGGAACCTGTCGGGACCTTAGATTTCTCTCTTTCTCTCTTGGGTGTCCCTGGATGCTTGCGTCATAGCTGGGAGCCGAGTCGTAGCCGGGAGCACCTCTGTCTCGCTCCCTCTTGTCTCTCTTCTCTCTCTTCTCCCTCTTCTCTCTCTCTCTCTCCGCTTCTCGCAGGCTCCTTTTTCACCCAACCTTACCCTCGTCCGGAGCTTAATTGAAAAGGAACGCCTCCCCTCGGGAAGGCGTGTGTGTGAACGCTTGGAGTCACAGGGATCCTGTAGGATTGTTTTGTTTCTTGACTTCTTTCAGCAGGGGGCACCGGGGGTGCTGATGAGACCGGTGCTAACAAAGACGTTCATCAGTTATCTGTGATACAGTTGGAGGCGTCCAACTGCGTACCTGCAGAGTTCTGACTTCCATTTCCCACTGGGCCCCGTTTTAACAACAAACTGACCACCCTTTGCATCAGTTCACCATCGGCAGTCACGCACCTGATCTTGATTTTGAGCTTGCAGTCTGAGATTGGAGGTGAGGGCAGTCTTTTGGCGTTTTGTTTACCTGGACCCTTAGGTTTTTCACTTAGGCTGGCGTGTGGCAACCGCTTTCAGTTCCGTACGCAAAATCATAAGTGTGCTCGTGGAAGCCCTTGCGGGTTGGACAGTGCCTTCGAGGAAGTAGAGTTCAAAGAATGCTGCCCTATCCTTGCTTGATTTGAGTGGAGATCCTGCAACTACTGTAGCGATCCACACGGAGAATGCTCGTGCCCATGTGTTTTTTTCAGTCTCATTTTCAATCAAAGGTTGCAAAGCCCTCAAGCATATCACTCAAGAAAACACTAGGAAATATTCGGAAAAAATTTTTTGTCTCCGTTGTTCTTGAACATGATTTCGGGCAACTCTGCCTGACAGAAGTGATGTTTTCCTTGCGAGACCCTTCACCGATGGACAGGTCTACTGGACGCCTGGAGCCTAGCGGAGCCTAGCGACCCGAGCCCCGAAGAAGTCCGCAAACTCAGTCTTGCAACGTCCCAAACCATTCCCGTCGCATCACACGGTCTTGCAGAAGTCTAGACGTTGATTGGCCAAGTTGAAGCCCGAGGGGCGCCTCCTTCGAACGGGCGGTGTGCCCCAGGCTTGGTGATGTATTGAGCAACGTCCCCGGCTTCGCCGCCCAGCTGTATGAAGTGAGCCGTGGTAGGCCTGGTAAGGGGACAACGGCCTCAGGGGAACTGAAGGACTGGCCCAGTTGTTTTCCTCGCTTTCCACGTCGAAGTGTAGGTTCATGCAAATGGATGCACCGCATCAAGCGAGTGGCGACCACGGCGACCTATGGGGGGGGGCAAATGACACATGTACCAACGTACTATTATAATCTCAACTATACTTGGAATTTGTAATATATATATATATATTCACACCCTCAACATCCCTCAACTACTTAGAATCTTCTTGATGTTCTCAGGGTCCCTGCCTACTAGTTGCCGGTATCTATACAAAAAATAAAATGCATCTATTATGATAGTTTAAATACTGGGGCAAGAAATCGGTCGGCAAGGTTAGCGGGAACAGCCCGGGAGAATCTTTCCAGGCATTCCTTTGTACCTTCAACAAGGTTAAGTCAAGTGGTACCATCTAGAAACTCTGAACTAAACAGGAAAGGACAATTGCCTGGTGCATGCCTTTGAAGCTAACTTATTTTTTTAAAACTTCCCTTTGTTCGGCAATTGTGGGGCCTAGGTATAGAGTGCCTTTGTTTGCTGCTGTCTCTCAGACAATGCAGATGAGGAGCAACATTTTGACCAACCAATCCTTTTGGACGCTTGGATAGGTTCCGTATGATGGGTTAAGTTGTAATTACTGTAATTGGTTTGCATTGTGAGAAGATGCCTATCAAGGTCATGCAGGTCGGTTGACCCATTTGTTCAGAGCAATGCCAGGAAACAATTGGTGCGCCATTGTTGGAAGAATGGTTTTGACTTGGAAGGATCGGGCGATAATTTGTCTCCAGTGTCTCTCAATCCAGCATCATGAAAAATCTCGCTTGATGCACAGTTCACATCAGCCCGTGCTGTTGCAAGGTTTCAGCTCTTCCGAAGTTTCACCCTGCAAAGTATATAACCAATTGCTGACCTTCTTTATTGATAAGTTGTATGACATTTCCGATGCTCTTGGCTTTGCCGTGGATTCTGACTCCATTTCAGATTAAGGCTGTGAAATTGTGACCTTGCAGGTGAGAACGTCCCTTGCTGGCTTCTGCAAAAGCCCGAATCTGAGCGGTGCGACGATGTCGCTTGCAGTGATCCGGAGAAGAGACATCGTCGCAACCCGCCAGCAGACACCCCAGTTGCTTGCTCGCAGTGGTTTGGTATCTGGAGAAGAGAGATCGTTGGCAGCCGGCAGCAGACACCCCAGTTCCTTTGCTTTAGCAGACTAAGTAGCAGACTATTGGTTGGCATCACTGTTGAAGGGTTACGGCCCTTTCGGGTGAACAAATGGGTGATCTCATGGAACATAGTTATTTGGTGAACTGCCATGAAGTGCCTATAGGGCCTATAGCATCATCTTAGCCCATAAACATCTATGCAGCATGACTTGGCCGCCGTCAGCATCCAACCCCGGAAGAGCTGATCCAGGATTTCCATGTGGAGCTGCGTTTGCTGCCGCGCTGAGTTTGCTGCAAGCAGGCCAATTTTGAGTCATCAGGTTGGAACGCAAAACTCAAATTATCGCCGGCATGGTCGTTGATCCTAAGGCAAAACATCTCACATCATCTCACAACATCTCAAGACCGTGTTTAAGTCTAGCGTGTTCATCCCAACCCTTTTTCAAGGGGATAGCCGGGATAGCAATCTGCGAGGTACATCAAGGTACTTTACATGAAGGGCATATCAGCTTTGGGTTCTTGATGAGGAACACCTTTTTGTCCTATGGCCAAACAGGTGCCTATCGATCCTGACCATATCAATAGAGTGCGTTCTTCAAATCCAAGAATAAGCACAAGAAGGAAGACGAAGAGGGAAGAGTGGAGGGAGAGAGAGAGAGAGGAGAGAGAGAGGAGAGACAGATGAGTGGAAGAGAGAGAAGAAAGAGAGAGAGAGAGAGAGGAGAGAAACAGAGACCCAGAAGAAAAATAACAAATTGTCAACTACGAAGGAAGGCGGCCAAAAACGTTAGAAAAAGTGTCCGGCAGATGAGTTGCTGTGGTCCACTTCTACGACTCGAGGTTTATTGAGAGGTGCGACCTCTCCAGGAATCGTGCGACAGGCGCACTGCTTTGAATTCACTGACATAGTTTCCGTGGACCTTCTGAGTGTTCTCAGCAAGTGTGTAGTACAAACCAGCGTCGTCGGTGGCCGCCTTTGCTTTGGTTGTAAGAACAATGGATGACACAATACATCCTCTATAGATATTAGATAAATATCCCCCAGATCTATATAATAGATCACTATGGCGGTCGTAGGGACTCCGCGTGTCAAAACAGATGACTCCGCTGCTTTTCATCTCCTACAAAGATGCGAAGCAGATTGACACGAGCGAAACGGCCCTGGCGAAATGGCCCTGGCTTGGCTTGCGGGAGTCGATTCTTGGGAGATCCGCCATGCACAGCTGTTAGTGTTCCGCTTGCTGGAGGCAATTGGGCCAGTGGACACTGCTTCATTCCACGGAAGTAGGGTCTGCGGGGGGGCAAGCCATGTTTGCAGTCAATTCCGTCATGTTAACTGGTTGTTGAAACATGTTGAAACTATCACTTTCGGTATTGTGATTAACTCTGTGTGAATCCCCCACTTGGCCAAGTCCAAAGTCGAAGCAGTCAAGAAGCAGTTTGGCTCGAATGCGCTCTCCGGTGCCACGGGCTATTTTTTTTTGCCCGCTTTGATTCGCATTTTAAATCTCCCCTAGGTTTGCTTTGGCCGTTGGGAGTCTTCGCCGCCCATCCGTCTTCTCAGGAAGTGGCTGGGTAGGTGGCAATGGATGGCAGTTGGTTCATTGTTGTTGTCTTCCCAAGGTCTGGAGCGTTGATCGTGGACCCAAGTTATCCGGCACAAGCCAAACCTGGCAAAATGACCTAAAGCATCCTAAAGCGCAGAAGCGGTCAGAAGGGTACCCCGACTGCGCTCGCACGAAGATGCGTCAAAACAGACTTGTAATCCATGACTTGAATCGAGATCTCTATCCGAGATGGATCGTGTAAGAGAGTTGTTTACCTGGTGGATCTCTTTTAGTCAAAGCCGTCGCCTCGTTTGAGTGTAAACCCGCGCACTCCTCGGTTTCACCTCATGTGTTTTCCATGTGTGGATCAGTGCCACAATCCGTCAAGAGTGGGCGGGGGTTCGGTATGGATCGGTTGCATTGTTCATGTCGGTTCGAGACAGCAAGACACGAGGTGTTGGGATGAGGGAAGGCGACGAATACGGGACTCTTACCTGTTAATTAGGGTGTTTGAGCAGTGTTTTTTTTTGGGTTTTAAATGGTTTTAATGGACAATTGTTTCCATCCTTGCACTTTTCAGAGCCATCAACTGAGCTTCCAATTTTAAATTTGCAGGTTCCATGCCTCAAGCTGCTCAAACATGAGCCATCAGACAAGATCGTAGGTCGGAGATCCCCAAAGCGATAGATCACAGCCCTGGGCCAGTCCCTGGGCCCTATCATGCCAGCGCATAGACAGGCGGATTACTTCAAGGCTGATACCCTTTACGTATCACGTATCGAGATAAAGTCTTTCACTCCTTCCTTGTATGAAAACAGCCAGCAGCCGAAGGCGCATAGTAGCATGGTGCTGAATTTCTGAAGAGCTTGTCTCAAGCTTGCTGTTCTGCATACGTGATGTTAGAAATTTTAATGCAACAGGATCGAACAAGTTCAATGATATCAAGAAGCAAGTGAAATTGTAAAAAAAGGGTTCTTAGTTACAGGATCTTACAGGACACCAGGTGCGGTTCCTTAGTAAAAGATGCATACCAGCCGCTTCTTTCGCGATGAGCATGAGGACAACAGCATACCATGCGTCATTGAGTACAGGTCGAATATACCAATGTTCATGGTTCATGCATGTTCATGCAGTAGATTGTACAGTATTGTGTTTGTCCTATGGTATATACCTATTTCTGCTGGCTAGTTCTCTAAACTGCCCCCTTTCGGAGCTTTGGGTGGGGTTAGGCCCGCGGCTGGGGAGCCTACGGTTCCAAAGAAGGGCATAGTGTTCCCAAGTAGTTCAGTGTCATTTTGTATGTTGTTTCTGAGTCTTTCTGATATTTTGGGTGGTTGTGGTTGCCTGATACTGGAAGGCACTGACTAACTATATGTGCTCAGGCTTGCGATCCCTTCTCATAGGCTTGCAGATTGGCCACTTGCTTAATCTTGATGGCCTCTCCACACACTCGCTTTCGTTTGAGCGCAGGAAACTCCTCCAGAGAGCGGTTCTGAAGAGGCAGGACGAGACGCTCATGGTTAGGAGAGATGAGGTATGAGGGCGTGACGGGAGTGCCCAAATTTGTGTCACGGATGCAGCTTTGATATTAAACTACGGATGAAACAATGAATCAATCCAACTAATGAAGATTTTGGTGAATGAACACGTATCATGTTGCAGGGCAGCAACAGTTACTGGGATAGCCCCACGTTTCCGCAACTTCTGGAGAAAAGATCCTTGAGTGCACAGTGTTGCTGGCTGTTTTCAGCGAGCCAGCACAGTCAGTACAGCCCCAAGTGCCATGATGCAAAACTCATTGATAGAGCACGGCTCCATCCAGCATGGGACCTGAGCCATCTACTCATGCTCTAGTAACACTGGAATGCAGATGGCCACAAAATTGCCCAACAAGGAGGAAACTCCAAAGATTTCAGTAATCCACATTGTCCTTCCTAGGAGGGCTCTCTAAACAATTCTAAGCACAGTTCCTTGCGCCGAACGGCCTACCTGCCTTCCTTTCTGACTGCCAGTCTACTTAGTCTACTTCCGTCAGCCAAATGGAGTGACTTGTGACATTCGGCGACCATGTGCCATGTCGCGCGCGTGTGTGCAATGTATGGACCTGAGGATTGAACAGGGAAGAAAAGCATCTCTTGCTTTGTGGCTGCAGAGGATGGAAGGCCTAAACTAAAACCTTGTCGATAGGTATCAGAAGCTCCACAAGTTGTTTGGTTTTTTTTTCCCATTAGTTCCCCCCTTCGCATCAAATCACGCAAATCAGATGAAGCCACCGACGACCCCATGTCTGTTTCTCCAAACACTCCATGTGCTTCGCCGAGGCACGCTGCTGTGCGCGGACCCTGCGGCCAGCTGCTGCAGCCTTTGCGGCGGGGCCCTGACGAAGACCTTCAACAGGCACAGGGGGGAGATGCGGAGGTGCAGGGCGCGTGGAGAAACCAATACCAGACTGACTGTAACCAATTACTGTAAAAAGACGAGAAGCGCAAGCCCTTCTCCTCTTCTCAAACTTCTCACTTTTCCAAGTATTTACACAAAATATCATTTTAAGTCAATGATAATGCATTTGTGATCTATATGTTTATTGCCTTCACCAAAAACCTGCGTTCACAGACACCAAGTGGCCACAATCCCATCTAGCTTTCAATGGGTCCACCAAGGCACGCAGAACTCACCAGAACTCGAGTCGGAACGATCAGTCATGTGCGGAATCGATCATGTCAGCCCATCGTATGAACCTGGCCTGCATGTTCATCTTTTGCTGCTCCGAGATGGAATGCCTAGATGTTTGTATTTGGAATATGTTCGGTCGCCGAGTCGCCTCAAAGAAAAAGTGTTGCATCCAACCAACGGATTCTCGTAGAGAAGGCAAACCTGACTTTGGGAAGAGTGGCCCAGTAGAATGCCAAAGAAAACAAGACAAATTGTCATGCATCATCCGCCAAGAACATATGCACTTGAGCCATGATAGACAATCTTCTTGAATCACTTGTCACTGCCACCTAGATGCAAACATTGGCAAACTGAAGACATCCGAAGCAATTATGGCTTTTACTGCTGCTCTCCGCTATGTGAAGATCTGAACCCCTACCCACCATCCGGGCGTTAGGTTTCTCGAATTTACCCCCCCACGGCTTTTTGCTCAGTTTTTGCACTACGGTGCTGGACATTTGGAGTTGTGTCACGACCTACCGGTGCCTCCACCAGTGCCTCCCGGTACAAAAAAGCACTGCACCGTCATGCTGGAGGTCATTGAACAGTGGCACATGCATCGATTTGGACGACGACTCTCAGCAAGAAGTAGGTGGCATCGCAGAAACCTTTTTCTTCGCTGGGCATTGGGCATGTTTCGTCCACTGGGTTTACTTGCACTCTTTCAGCGGGCTTTGTCAGTTTCTTTTTTAATCATGACTCATGTGCCTTAAGTAAGTATCCTTAAGTAACAAACTGAGCTTAACCCTAGGCATACGACTGATAGCTGATAGGGAGACGCAGCATGGGACGGGTTTGGTGGTTCTTCCATTTTCGGTCGATGTCCTGTGGAGGTGCTGATTGCGCGAGACAAAAGAGCCGGGCGTGTCCCAGGTGTACCTTGATTTGTTCCCAGGCGGCAAGAAAACACCACAAGATGCACCGCTTGAAAGCAGGGTAAGAAACAATCTTCTTCTGGGGGTCGTTCAAGTCCACCCAAGAACGAGCAATGTTAGGTTCCCAGCTTTCCCATATCCTATCACGTTCCACGTTGTTCCAAAAGAAAGCGTTTGACAAAGAGCAACGTGCATTGGAAATGCTTTGGAATTTTCAGGCCACTCCAGGGCAGGGTCTTTGTGGCTAGATGACGCCCTCATGGCCTGAAGTTCATGGATGATCGCACACGGCGCACACCAGATTCGGATCATGTGATCAGATGCGCAATGGGTCAGACTGGAGCTATTGTAGTATACAGTATATCAGCATATAAGATGACCATAGTATATCTATGGATCACTATTTATCCAATTGATTCCGATTGCTGCTTCCACATCCACCTGAGGTGAGTCGGATCTTTGCGATGCATGCGGTGCTGAAATGGAGCCTGTGAGGAGAGAAGACCGTCCTTCAGTCACAGTCCACCCGAATAAAAAACATGTCAAATGGCTGAGCCCCTAGTAGCGTCCTTGCTCCTAGTAGTAAGGCCAGGAGCCCCGATCGTAGCTTCTTATTACTAGTAACTAGTAGTAAGAATGCTACTAGTAGCGATGCCAGGAGCCCCTTCTGTCGCTTCTGTCCCCTGCATGTTGGACATGTTATCTCCGGGACGGGCTCCCCGGCGACTCGCGCGCGTGTGTTCACTCATGCCCCCCCGAATCGACCGGGCTCTGGAGTCCTAAGTGAGTGGATGTGACAGGGGCACCCCCCCACTTCCTCCGCTCCTTCGGCACCCCCCAGTCCCACCGGGATTTGCGGGTTCCACCGGTTGGCACCAGGAAGCGGCCCAAGACCGAGACGACAGGGCACGGGGCCGCCCCTGCGGCTTGGTGGAAGGGCGTTGAAGTCGTGCAAATGGCAGGTCAGACCTTGAAGTCGTGGTGTGGAGTTCTTGCAGATTGGTTTTGGCCTGTATAGCGTAGGATCTCAAATTTCGGAAGTCTTGGTTGTTGCGTTTATATAGCTTGGTGGAATCTGTGGTGTGTCATAGCCACGGCTATTTCCACTGCTGCTTTGCCACTGCCGGTGCTGCCCGCGCTGCTTTGTGCTGCTTTGCCCTGCTGCGTTGTATCCTTGGAGGCTTTGCTGCTGGTTGCTGTTCACTTCCTATTTCACGTACCTCCTTGATGCATGTTCACATTCCACGCTATTTAGTGCTTGCCAAATGCAACAATAAACCCAGTGTAGATGTGAGGGTGGCTTTCCGGTAGCGAATAGTTTGCATTTGCAGTGGGGAGAAGTGTTATCACTTTCAGGGGAGAAAAGACTCTTCAATTTAAACCGCACATTGCAACCAAGCTCTTCGTTTTGAGGTTCTACCATCAGATCAGAAACGAGGGTTTATATAGATGACCACATGTCCGGTGTCCGTTACGTGCCAGGATTTTTGCTCTAGGGCTATGCCAGGACCCCCCCTACTGGTAGTGGCTCAGCAACGTGTTTTTGTCCTATGCCGCCTATGCAGTGACTGGCCGGGTGTAACCGTACCTACCACGGAGCCCTCAGGGATCAGCCATCCACCGAGGCCTTGTCGCGTCCACCGGGCATCGCAGACTTCTTCAGCCGTCGAGCGGAGCCTTCGCCGACGCCGACGTCGATCGGAGCAGCTTTGGCGACGGCGTCCGCTGTGGCGCTGAGTGGGAGACTGAGGACTGGCGAGCGTGGAGTGAGCACTGGGCGTTCCTGGAAATGACTGGGCAGTTGGATGGGTGTTCTGAAATTAGTTCCGGGATGAGCTTCTATTGGAGCTCTACTGCTTCAGTTTCTGGACGAAGTATATGGAGTGGTTTGCAGCAGCCAAATAGGTGCAGTCCAATCTACTCGGATTGCTTGGAAGTGTTTTGCACCTGGGACCGGAAGACATGAGGCCACCAGGCTCGCTGCCTCCCCTCGCGCCTCACAAGGTGAGGATCCGCCCTTGCCACCACCGGCGGAGCCACCGCCGGAGGCGGGGTTGAGCTCTTGCGTTTTGCGGGTTGGAAGTTTCATGTTTCTCCTGAGGAGAAACATGGTGAATGTCAGTCAAGTAAAAGAGTGAATGTTGGTTTGGGTTGAGAGGAAAGACTTAAAGGGGACTATCACTATCCATGTTTTAGTCACTTGCAGCAAACAGCAATCGAACTTATCTTTAGATTATATAAATTTATTGATACGCGTGGTAGCTTCAACAGTTTCAACCATAAGGCATCGAGCGTTCAAGACATATTTCACTGCAAGATACTCTACACTGTACACTACAAGATGCTTATCCCAGACAATAGCTTGGGCATGGCTGGGCGTTCTTTTGCCCTCACTAGCTTTGGGGATCCAGCCATTGGCCATGGGAACTTGCTGTGAGAAGAATACGAATACACTGTCCACCTGTCGCTGGACAGGAGCCCCATGCGACCGCTTCATACGAACACCCGCCAAGTTCCTTGTAGACCACACACATCCCTGTGTAGTGCTTGCCACGCTGCTCAACTGAGTTCATGGGAGGCGTTGGGTGAAGAGCCCAGCGGCTCGTGGTGTGCGGCTGAAGCGGCCAGCGAGCTGGTCAAGAGCTGCGAGAGCTTTGGCCATGCTCGAGTGACCAAGGGTGCCTGATCGCAATGATGGTGGCTGAACAAGGGATTTAGGCGATGGATCCAAGCAGTTGTGTTTTAATGTGTGTATTTCATAGTTGTATATAGATGTACGTATGTGTAGCTATTTTATGTTATTTTCGGTCGGGTGCACACGCACACATGCTACTTTTTTCGGTGTGAAAGATCATTGTTAGAATCGTGGTTCGCTGCCGACACGCTGCAAAACTATTTGCTTGAAAGCCCAGT